CAACATTGTTTGGATGCTGCGTTTCCATTGGGGTTAGATGCAAGATGTCACCCTCATTGGAATATAAGCTTTGGAGCGTCAGTTCAACACCATTAGGTACATGGGGCGTGAGTACATGGGGCGTGGGTACATGGTTGCATGGGACTCGCGCGGCACTCGCGACAGGGTCGAAAAGACTCGCGTGGCACTCGCGCCAGCCTCACCATGTTTCCTTTAGTGATCTTTTCCACATGAAGGTCATTAATGCACAGCTCTTGAAGAGCAAAGCAAGCAGGGCAGCATGCTGCATCTATGTTTAGGGGGTAATCTTCACCATAGTCCTAACCTTGCGTTCTGATTGGGGTTTGGTCACCAAAACGCTGCAAACTTCGACATCAAACTAGTTGTTTCCTGCACAGGGGCAGTGAATTCTTGATGTATAGCAGTTTTGACAAACATGCTTCCGTAGAGCGTTTACATTGTGTTTTAACATAAACCGGGTGACTTTTCGCGAGCCGGGTGACTTTTGACTAATGCTGCGTTTCCATGCGGCCGGGTGACTTTCTGCAAACCCGGGTGACTAAACCCTAGCGCTAGTAGTCCTTTTGTCTCCGAGCGCTCTGACAACGCCATGTAGGGCCTAACTTCGTGTGAACGCCGTGACTACTGCTACTGCTACCACTACTACTACTACTACTCCTCCTGCTGCTGCTGCTGCTACTACTGCTACTGCTACTGCTACTGCTACTACCCCAACCATCCTCAGTGGGCTAGAATATATTTTTTTGATTACCTTTTTATTTTTTATTGATCCCCGTTGAATATTTTTTTGATTCTATTTTTACTTTTATTTTGATCCCTTACCCCTCAAAGTAGGCTTCACAACGAATCATGTTGTTGTGTTTTGCACCAAAGGTGCAATCAGTGGGCCACTGGGGTCCCACTTGAGGCGCATTTGCATGTTGGCCTGCGTTGGCTACATTGTCCCTGAGTACTTCCGTTGGCCTGGCTACCTCTCTCCCGAGAAGGCGCGCACTGCGCACTGCTGCGCTGTCCTGGAAGGTTTGCCATATGAACACGAGTGTGGTAGGTTAGTTTCCCACCTCGAACCACAAAAAGCCTATTCAACCTCATTTTGTGTTCTCCAGCTTTTGGTGGCAAATGGTAGTGGAAAAAGGTTATTTCTATGATCAATTCTGGCAATATGGTTGTTTGTTGTCTTTAAAGCTGGAGTCTAGCCCGGCATGTTGAGCCACCACAGTAAATAAGTATACAGTAATTTCAGAGTAGATGGCACAATCCCTAAATGGTGGTTCATATGGAATCCCATCTTGTCAGGACATAAATGTGGGTGCCAGTGCCATCAAACCTCTGAAACCAGGACCACTAGACTCATTTCGGAGTCTCATGCCTCGAGACGGAAGTCATACTCCCAAGCATTGTCCTTGCTCATCATTTCTGCATGTGTTTCCTCAAAAAAAGAAAACTTGAAGACCATTGAAGTCCCAGCTCCCAGACCACGATTCCTCCTCCCAGGGCATCAAGTTCGCAGACATGCCTCACGGCATCGCGGCCATTGGCAAGGCCAGTGCGAAGACTGCTCGGTGCGACCGGGTTTTTCATCCATCGGTTCGATTTGGGGCGACCCTTGCGGCAGCACACCGGTTGGTTGGCCGGTCTGTTGATCCGTTTCTTTGCCTTGTTTCAATCAGCATGCCGAGAGAGATTCCCCTAGGATCCACCATTATGGCAGGGAGAAGTACCAGGTTTAGGAATGGATATCTTGTGAAGTGCAATGGACATCACTTCAGGATATGTTTCTTGTACTAAACCAAAGGTGGAACTTGCTCAACAAATTTGCCAAGATCAATTGCAGGAGGTGCTCATATTTTGGTGGGTCGTGGAGCCATGGTTTTCATTACTCTTTTGGACTGAGTTGCGGAATGAGCCATGCTTTACAAATCTATATATAACCCAGTATATAATCCCTATCAATCCTTGGTTGTTTGGTTTCCACTATCGGCGTTCATCCGAAGGAAAAACCCATCGACGGCACGAAGCGGTGAGATCCTCCTAGATTCGGGACACCTACCTATATAGAAATCTAAGTACAGTAGTAAGGCACTTGTTTCTAATAGCTTTTTGTTACTACTAGTAAGGCACCTGTTACTAGTAGCGTGGCACTTGTTACTACTAGTAAGGATACATGTCAATGATTTTGATTGCATATACACTATATAACTACACCACCTTACGGGGGGCGGCAGCAGTTTTCCAGATTCAATGACACTGCCAGATCTTCAGGAAGCTTAACAATCTCGCAATCACGGTTACTGAATGCACTTCTGTTTTGTTTTGCTCTTCGGAATATATTTCTTGCTTGAACCTCCAAGGTTGTATGAAACTCGGCCATGTTCCTTGCCGTCGGTCCACGATCTGGGCGATGTAAATCGCACGACAGGTGCCCTTGGAGGGTTGGGTGCAGATCGCTCTCTTCTTGGGCCACTACGAGGGATAGTACCTGTGCTGCACTGCTTGGTCAACCAGGTATAGCTTGATTGTCCAAGGTATTGATTGGTGTTAGTATGGATGAACGCAGATATACAAGTAGGATGAACAAATGTGAGGATGCTACGGATGAGCACGGTTTCAAGTGAGCGATTCTTGGGTCCTTGCTTTCTGGATGAGCACCGTGTTGAACGATATGGGTATGGAGTCATCATGTGTCTTACTCCCTTTTTTTTTGCGGCCATTTCACTGTAGGGGGGTAAGTGGGATTGTCACCAGTAGCTGTCGGGTAATCGCAAAGCAACCATGGAGAACCACTCGTGGGATATCGGAAGATCAAGTTGCAGCAATAATTGCAATGTTTATTTGTTAGTTTTGCGGCACAAGAAATCCTGCGACACCACAAAGCAAGTGAATTTTGCTGCCCACCGACACCCCTTCTACATGTCCCATCTTCCATGTTCACCTGCCTGAATCTGCTACAGTTTCTGGCGACAAGATGCCAAGCGTGCTCCTGGAGACTATGAAGGCGGGAGATGTCACCAGCATTTATGGTCATTCACGGCATGCAAGCATCATCGAAGATGCCTGGATTGTTCAGTGGAAGTCATGTCTCCCATTTGCTAAGAATGTTGCATTGTGTTTTCGTGTATATAATATATGTTCACATATTATGTACATATTATTGTATAATATTTATTATGTGTCTTTGCTTTGTGTCCGTGTGTGTTGCGAGTTGCGAGCTTCGATCGTAAGTCGTAAGCATGGTTTGCTTGCAGCTCTTTTACTGTGGCCTCCACCTCCAAATCCACACAAAATCCACAGGCTTCAGCACGACAAAGACTCAATCACACCTTCCAAACCCCACATAACAAGTCCGACCCATTCATTTTGGTGTTTACTGGTTTCTTTTTTGGATCCTTTGTGTTTAACACAACAAGTGCGTTAATTGGTATGCCTTTTGGGGGAATCCACATCATATAGTGTTGGATGTTTGTTTTGCCTCCAATTCACCTTATTTTCATTGAGGAAATTTATATATCTTACAAAGTGAATTTGCAAAAGGAAGGAACGTAATTAATTGCAATCGAGCTCATCCAAGCGTCAGTCGCCCAAAAGGCAATCCAAAAGGCAATTTTTGTTGTGCCCGACCAACCTCCTGCAAGCTTCACCAAGCTCCACCCGAAAGGCTACGGATTCCTGGGCGTCGGCAAGAACTTCATCTTCAACTTTGAACCCATCATCTTCAAGGCCAAGTCGTCAATTCGAGCAGGGTAGCTGTCACAACTAGGTCCTGAAGCAGGGTAGCTAGCTGTCGAAGAGCGAAACGGGCCCAGCGCACGTTACACCGTTACACCTTGGGACACGTTTGACACATGTGATTCTCATACACGTTTGCACGGGTTGTTGTGGTTGTGGTCAACGGGGGGGCTGGCTAGCAGTAACTGGAATGTTCCCTGAAGCGTAGCTTTAATTAGCGCCAACGGCAAGGAGTGCTCTATAGATTGGATCCAATAAGTTTTTCCTCCTGAGGCTTGGAGGCAGAAGTGGAACTTTGTTAGTCTTCCATTCTTCCTCCCTCTCTAGGATTGCATGGGCATGTAAATTTCATGTCAAAGATGCCAACACCTCATCCCAAGCGCTCCTTCCACTGCAGGATGCGGAGGTGAAACAGACCAAGTTGCGCGCGGAGTTGGCGAACGGACGATTGGCCATGGTGGCTTTGCCACTCGGAGAGCTTGGGAGAGGGTTGAGGGAGGCGAGGGGCCGCTTCTTTGAAGTCTCTATATAATTATGGGGTGGTTGACTCAGTGGTTTCTCCACCCTGCTTTTGGATGCTTTTGGGATTTCAGGAGGATTGGAGAACAGGATGACCTTTTTGAGTGCGCTGCGAGCTGGGCGTATGTTTTTATCCCTCAAGCTTGCAAGCGAAATTGTAGCGCCCTCAATGCTGGTCGGGCAGAGGGGCATGGACAGACCATGTTTGGATATGTTTGGATATCTTTGGCAAATCCCCAAATTGTTTTTCTATTGACGAGCTGGGCCAGCTTTTTCGCGGTTGGACCTCGCTTCTGAGGATGGCGATGCTCTTTCAGCACCTTGGCGAAGCACTTTGGGATTCGTGCTGAACGGCCTTGGCCTTACACTGCGATGAACCATCCACGGCTTCACCCTAGGGACTCAACACACACACAACTCACTTAGGAGATGCTCGGAGTTTGCTTGCTTCAGTAGCCCCAAGTAGCGTCCTTGCTCCTAGTAGCGGTGCCAGGAGCCATGCAATTTATTTTATCATGTGTCTTTTCACTCATCACCTACCCACATGCTCTTCTTTTTTGTGCCCGGGCCATGAGAAGCCGTCGTGCCGAGACATCCTCATGTCTTTGTATTTGGGCCTTGAAGCTTGCCAAGCTTGCCAAATAAGAGAGAGAGTGAGAGAGAGAGAGGGAGAGAGTGAGACACTGATAGATCCGAGGAACGGCACTGTTGGAACTACTGGTCCTGCCATGTGGCTGCCCAGCGCATGAGCTAGTCCGTGATAGAGTCTTTGCACTGCTCTGGGGTCTTTGTTAATGATCAACCATTGGCAAATCATCATCGCAACTTGGTTGACAAAACAAATAAAGCTTCTTTGTGGGGTTCAGGATTGCCAGCTCCCAGCACTCTTCTGGCTTGTATTCCTTTGAGGCACGGAAGTATTCGTTTGTGTGTCCATACTCTTTGGTTCGATTCCTGGAAAGCATTGAGGGCAAGTGAATGCTCATCGACTTCATTGAGCTTGGGAGAAACCCACTCGACTCCATGTGGATGCCTGTGGGAAGGGTCGAAGGAGAAGTTGTTCAGGTGTTTTTCTCAGGGTTTGGTGGGTTGTGTTCACCTGTTTTTGGGGACACTGTCAAAGCTAGAATACCCAAATCAGGGTTGACTCCACGAGGGATGAGTTCCTGGTTCACCTTCCCTTCTTCCATGGCCACAAGGTTTTCGCATTCGATCTTGTGTGTTTGGTCCCAATGAACGTTTCAATTTGTTATGCGGGGAATAGGCCCTGTTCGGTCAATGCGAACTGGTAGAGCTGGTTGGGCATTCACAACCTTGTGTAGCTCACGATCTTTGAAAAAAACCTCTTATAGGCCCAGCCTGTCCTGGAGAAGCCAGCTCAGTTTACCTCGGAACGAAGACCCCTTGAGCCGTTTTCAATAGCTGATCCAAACACAGCACATTATATTTGCGATTTGGTTAGTTGCCGCATGGGCAGAATGCAAAGTTGCATTTTGCATTTGGCAAACGGCAATCATTTTCGATAGTGTAAAGCAGTCAACCCTGTGCCCATTGCTACACCGAAGGGGCTTGCCCCTCTCACCACGGAAGGACTCACGGAAGGCTAGCTGCCAACATAGAAGACCATAGTTTGTTGATTCAACATGTCATATACATTTTGTGGAAGCAGTGCTAAAGTTGGCCTCATGGTGAGTGGCGGAATTTTGCCCAAGTCTTCAATTAAGTGCGCTTCTCTTAGAGAGGTGAACATGCGCCACCGATAAGACTGATTGATGATTAGCTATTGTTCAGAGGTGGAGTAGTTACAGGAAGTAGCAGTCATTTTCACCCAAACCATGTGAATCTTGGGTTTTTCGAAGCAGGGTGCATCTCCAGCATTGCTCTTTGGCAATTAGCGGGTGATGAAGGATCTGTAGCTTCAACAGACTCGGCCATATCTTGGCTCCAAAAAGGCCCGGGACCTGTGGTGCGGACTCCGGCCAGCTGACCCGGCTCCCCGGTACCCCAGGCTAGTCTGCCGACTAGGTTCCAAATATAGTGGTCCCCCATATAGATAGTGGAACGGTGTCCAATACATTGTTAGTGGGGATCTACTTTTCTATCCATTGGGGGCCGGGGTCTATATATTTATATATACATCATGACTGAGTGTGCAGGGTCACATTCACCCTTAGTGTTGTTGCTTTGGCATCGTTTCCCTCATGTTTCATGAGCTTTCCATATTGAAGCATGCCTGCTGTATAGCGGTGCCGTTGCTGGAGCTCAACTTGAGAGGAGTTTTGGAATTCTGGGCGTTCCTGAAGTCTCCCGGCTTATTTGTTACAGATTGTTGTAGACATGACATTTTGACACTCCAGGCGCTCAGAAACTGTGGTTCTTTCATTTTTTCAGAAGCCCCTCCTTTGGATCGTAGGGGCCATGTGTTTAACTGGAAGACAGTCAGCACCCAGTCTTCACCACCTCCTTGAATGCTGTCGGCCCAAAAATTGGTGTGGTGCCAGGAAGAAGAGACGCTGGATTTGCCTGCTGAAGTGGAGGTCCAACGAGACCCGGAGCATGAGACGGGGAGCATGACGAGACGGGAGAAGCCAACAACGCGGCTGTACACTTTGCGTGGTTTGCGTGGAGAATGATAGCTGCATGGATTCATAAAGACTGGCATCCAAGCCAATATGCTTTGAGCCACTTCAATGCTTGCTGATGACTTCTTGCCGGAGCTGCTCTATGTCACATCAGGGTCCTTAGTGGGTTTGAAGGTTTGATCACAGCCTTGACTTGGAACGTATTCCCTTTCTTGGGGCAAAGGTTGTGATAGCTCATGTTTTCTTCAGCTTGGAGCTGCCAAGGATGTACCCGTTTTGGGCCCTTGAGCAGTTTTTATTAAAACAAAGTACCATTGAAGGTAGACATGGTGCACAATAGGTCTTTTGCTGGTGTGGTCCTTGCTGCTTCAATTTGTTTGCATGGCTGTAAATTTTAAATGCCAATAGGTTGCAGTTAGAGTTATAGATGTTCGTACAGTCAGGGCCAGAGACAGTTATACACAGACTTTGGGGCAAAACAGGGAGTATCTAAACAACAGTCTGGCCATGATGGGAACCACTCAGTCTTGCCTTGTTAGTCTTGCCTTGAGAACCACTCGTTCCACTCCAAAAATCCGTTCGGCTCGTCGGTTGCCCAGGTGGAGCCCTGTTCCCCAGGACTGGATGTGGCCCGGCGATCATGTTAGAGAGAGGATGCACCGTGAAGAACACAAGGAGGTGGCTCAGTTTCGCCTTTTTCGGGCTTCTATCGAGTTCCGATAGCCTAGAGACACCAAAGTGGCCGTGGAAAACCACTTTGCTCTACCAGTTCAAGATGTTCGCTTGACATTTCAGAAGAACCACCCTCAGCACGTTCATCCTGGCAGAGAGTTGGTGAGTCAAGCGTGACACGTTTTGGGGAGATTTGTTTGTTTTTACTTTTCAATGTGTCATGCATGGTCCCTTTTCAGATGATGTATGCATTCAACCAGGGGTCGACCTCAAGTAGTTGTGTTTTCACGTATGAAAAAGTGTTTTATGTTGTTTTTGGCACTCTAAGACTCTACAGTGCCTGGTGCATTCCGAGCAAGTTGTACGCAGTTTCTTTAATGGTGCGAGGTAGGTTCTGTCATGGCTCGACTTTTTGTGAGGTATAATATACAAAGGGTCAAACAGAGTCAGCCGTGACAAGTTGACAAACGGTAGTGAGGAATCTCTCATGAGTGCCTGAATCACCGAATCACCAATTGATTTACGGGCCAACGGTGTTTGTCCATGGAACCAACCCAGGTTTTTTGTGTGCATGTGCATTTAGACCGTGGAATGTCAGTCAGGTGAACAAAGAAAGGTTTGATAGACTAAACCATATTGGACGGTCCGTCTTTGGTTGTACTTCTGCATCCCCGGAAGCTTGCTTCTCTGTTTGTTCGTTGCTCCGAGGTAGAACCTGAAGATGAAGGACAGCTTTCCGCTTCGCTGTTTTTTGCTGGTTGGTTGTTTGTTTATGTTTGTTTTTAGACATTGACATGAGGACATGAGCAAGTAGTACAGTAGAGTTTACCATGAGAGCCATGACGGGAGTTGCCATTAGAAAGATGGGAATTGCCAGGATGGGATTGCTCCTGAAGGTGTGCCAAAACCGATTAGAGAGATGTTGTTTATACTGTCAACTGTTGAACAGTTTTGCCATGTGCTAGTCTTACAGTTGCGGCAACCAGGTGAACACCTACTATGACTTTTCAAGGTCAGTATGTTTCAAAAGAAAGTCCAGAACCTCCAAGCAGACACGAACCCTTGGATGTACGTGTCACAAGAGGTGGCGGTACCGCTAAGTACGCCTGCACCGGGTCGTGGGTCAAAGAAGGGGCCCTGAGGAACGAAAGTCTCATTAGACCTTGGGAGTGTGGGACCTCGACAAGATCCGGAGTACGACCTTCAAGTCGCCTTCGCTTTTTGTATGTTCAAGTCACCCTCGCTCGGGGTTCTTTGGAGCTACCAGTCATGACTGTCCGCCCTCAGACCTACACTTCTGGTCACAGTTTGCAGGGATCAAACAGTCAGACGTTTGTCAAGTCCACTGTTGTTGCTCAACACAGCTCGGTGTAGTTGTGGCTCGTAGCTCGCAAACTTCTCACAACCAACAAAGATGTTTGAGAGGTGGTTTACAGCTGACAGTACTTGGTGGCTGTAAAATAGAAGGTCTCGTTGGCTCGTGCGTATCACAGCCATGTTTCTCAGTCAGAAACCGATGGACGTCCAATGGGGGTTTGACTCAGGTTTGCATTTTGTGTGGTGATCTCGCTTTTGGCTCAGCTGAAGAGTATTTCGTCACTTGACCGTGAGGGTCAAACGGCGCAGGCGGCGGTTGGTGTGATCCATGCTGGGAGTGTGTGCAAAAATGCATACACGCGAACTGGTCATCCAGTTTGTCAGACAATTCGGATGGCCAGTGTGAATATCGGCTGAGAAACAAGTTCCCATGCTTGGAAGGTTCCAAAGGCTTTGATCCTTCAGAACATGATCATGTGTTTTTTGAAGATCCAAGAATCTAAGGCAAGGTGCTGTGCAGGCCCTCAAAGTTGCAAGATTCGTTCGCGCAACGATATTGGAGACACTGGAGACCCCAAACTGCTGAGCTTCTTTGGGCCAAGAGGTAACTGGGCAGCTGCATGCCACCAATGAGGTAGCCTAGACAGAGCCGACAGAGCCTTCCCTTGACGGCCAGGCATCATGTACACGAGTCACACGAGCCAGCCTGGTGTGACCTATAGCTCGCAAACAAGTCAGCCTGCCGCGTATAGCTCGCAGCCTTACCAGCCGGAAACCTAGCTGCTGATGGCATCAAAGGTGAGTTGGTGGATATTAGTGCTGATGATATTGGTCTCCATCCAAGATGAGTTGGTCACGCATAGGTTGGTGATACCTTTTGCGTGTGGGTCCAACATAGGCAGGACACCTGATGTTCCAAATTTAGAGGCTCCAAGTGGTTCAGCCAAGTGGGTTCAGAAAGGTGCCACAGGGATATGTGAACCGCGGGTTTTAAGGAAGTATGTATGATTGACATCTTCCCTCTTTTGGGCCCTTGGGAAGGGAATCAAGGTGCCGAGTTAGGATGTGATAAGTACATTCAACTCAAAAGGAGTGAGCAAAAACTGTTAGCTAGGAATTTGTCAATAGAGGTACATGCTAATCAAGATGGCACCAGCTTCACCCCGCAGCACCCAGGCTTCCGACGTACTCTGCAGCTGCTTCAGGCCACCTACTCCGCTAGGGTAAACTGGTGCGGGAGAGCGGCAAAAAAGTAAAGCACATAGAGATTCGCAAGTAGACCTGCATATATGCTTGTGACGTCGAGTTTCTTTTTTGTTATCCAACATTGGCTCCCCAACTGGGGACGAGCCCCTGCGAAACCGGTGGGAGCCGGTTGCTTTTCACTCTCCCACCGAAGGATGACTATCTAGTCTGGTGGATTTGAGTCCGGTTTTGAGAGGCCCTAATTTCTCATGAATATATTATATATATATATATTATATATATCATATATGCAAAGGACATGGTAACAGGGTACATGGATTCTTGATGTAGAGTAGCCGATTCTTTAAAATGAGTCCTTGAACATGACTCCAATACTCCCAGCTACAACAAAGCACGCAGAAAACACTACTGTGTTTTGCTGGGAGGTCCTGTCAACGCTAGGGAGTGAGTTGAGGGTTGACCCACCGTCATTCAAACATTGGGTTGTCATGGGCTCAACAGGGGGCTGGTTGACTTAACACCACCAAAAGAGTTGTTCGATCGACCTGTTTGGATCTAGATGCTACTATTGTGAGTCAAGTTTGGTTGACAGAGATCTAAAGCAGTCAACTGAGTTGCAACAGGCAAGAGTTCCAGCAGCAACAATTCCCCAGGCGTTTGTTGCTTTGGCCCGACAGCTCGCGCGGAGGATATTCCTATCCCTATCCTGTCCAGGGCACCAATGGGGTGCAGGCGCACGGACGTCCCGATCCGTCGAGGGTCAAGCGCGGCGCTCGAGGAAGACTTTTTTCGGATGATCGCGGCGCATGGGATGCTTTTTTGGGGGGGGGCGGGTTACTCTTGCGACCTGGCTGAACCTTTGTGAATGAGGCGAATGTCTTGTAGAGACTCCCAGCAAATAAACCGAGATGAGGTCCGATAGTCGGCACCTGCCGCCGCCAGCTAGAGAGGATCTTCTTGGAGTAGCTTTATCGTTTAAACCCTGGCGTTGAAATCTGGTGCGTTCTGACAATCTTTGATACTTTGCTAAAATCCTTTCTTGTGAGAATTATGCCGCTATTCTTGCAAAACGTAGATTCTTGCAAAAGGATACGAACACATCACCCGTAAAGAGAGGAGGCTGATACTGCAGGGACCTAGAATGTCGCCAGCGCCTTCGAACTGGAAGGGTAAGGGCTAGTCAAAACTTGTTAAGGGCTAGGTGGCACGGTCAGTCAGAACCAACTAACCAACCAACTATAATTTTGTTGATTGTTTGCCTTGACAACAAGAATCCACCGATCTTTGTCAATTTGTTCATAATTACTGCTTTTGCATCTCAAAACGACATGTTGGCCATGATGAGCAAGTTGTGATGAGCATGCTGTGTTGCATGGCAAGAGGGTTTGTGAATCGATCATCGTCCACCAGCCCTATGGCTGCTGGATCCTATCCCATGCCTTTTGGCTCAGGGGATGTCTCCGAACGGAAGGCAGGACTGATATCGGCTGAGAATGGGTGAGACCATGTTGAACGACAGGGAACGACGGGGAATGAGTGCAACTGAAAGCTTTGGGGTGTTAAGGTGTTATATAAGTGTAAGATGAAGGGAGAGATCTCAAGAAGTCAGCTGCACATCCCAAACGTGCAGATGGTAATAAGTAATAAGAACATTTTGTACAGTCAGGCTTGTGACCGCCAGCATGGGGTTTATCACTTTGGAGGCCCTTTCGGGCATATATATATATATATACACATTGCAAATCCTTCTGTTGCAGCGCTGGAGTATCCTTTTTGAGTACCAGCACCGGACAATAGAATCGGGGATGCTCCCCTGCAGACCACGATGCTGAGGAAGTTTGTAATTGCTTGCTTTCACCATGGAAAAGCCAGGTGCCTCCTTCCTGATCCCGACACAGTGGAAACCAAGCTTTGCTTCAGGGCTATGCCTTCCCTTCAAGCCGATTTGATTCATGTTGTGACATCGACAACATCCCTGTGATGAATGACCTCAGCTTCGTCTTGATTGCAAAACCAGCTTGGGACTGCGGACATCGAGGAGCGCGCGATCGACATGGGCAGGTTTTTGATGCAGAGTTCTTTCGAGAAGCCCGCGGCCACACCGTCATAAGGATTTATGGGTTGGCTTTCAATTTTGTTTTACTTGCTCGGTATAGACACGTGCCGACCCTGCGCACGCAGCCGCTCGGAATCATGGTTTGGTTCAGCATCGCCTGCAGGTCGCTGCCAGATGACATGTTCCTCTTTGTAAACCCTGGCTCTGGTGGCAACAAGGGTCAGGCCAGCGCGCGAGGTTTGATGTTATCGATTTAGGCTTGGAGATCTCTTTCATCATGTCAAACAAAAAAGAAAACATCACATCTCATCGTCAATTCGAAATGTCCTGTATTTCAGCATGCTTCTGCCCAACAAGTTGCCAACGTGGCCTTTTCGGATTCTCCGGGACATCGGACTCTAGGTCTTCCTGAAAGCCCCAAAGCCCTTCATCGTCGATGTGGACGGTGGCAAGAAGGCACGGAAAACCGAGATCGCGCAGTTGGCCAAACTGAATCTGGTGAACTGAATGACATGACACCGTCCAGTTTGCCCAAACTGGATGGTGCCAGTGGACAGTTTGGAGACTACTGTAGGTGTCAAAGCTCAAATTGGATGGTCATACTACTAGGCCACTAGGCTCTGGAGATGGGTATGACTCAGTACCAGCCAAATTGGTTGGGTGCTTGGCATTCTGACAGGTTCAGCTCCATGTCTTCAGCATGTTGGAGGGCGACAGCGGAAACAAACCGGGCTTTCGCAAGCTTAAGGAGGCGGGGGTTCGCGGGATGAGCCGAATCACCTAGGCATGCAGTCACGCAACTTCAAAAAATCATATTTTAAAAAAAATGATTCTTACTCTTGGAGGTTCGGTTTGACATGGTTTGACTATCTGTGTTTTTGTTGATACAATCTGACTTTGCTCCACCGAGCCAAGTTTGCCTGGCAGATTTGTTGTGTATATTCAAGAGGTCTCCTTGCGGGCCCATGTTTGCTTCCATTGCAAGAAGTGATGTTCTGCAACAAGATCAAGGTCGTACAAACGACCGTCAATTAATGTCTCTTGACCCGGACCCTTGATGGACAAATCTTCCTGGGCTGGTTGAAACTCGAGGAGAGAGAGAGACCACAAAAAACTGTTAGAGTCAGAGATTTTACAAGTTGGTGCCAGGTATTGGGTACGCTTACCGTATCGTACCGTATGACGACTCAAACCTGGCAGTTCGACGAAGAAGTCCTCATTTTTACGCTCCACCAATGCTTTGCGAAACCTTTTGGGGGAGTCTGGTTCTAACAGGACCCCCTTTGAATGCAGTGATCAACAGCATACCTTTTTGGTGTCTCCGTGCCTTCACGAGCCTGACATTGGCACTTTCATACGTAAGAGCAGCAGGAGGATCTAAAAACCCAAACCATCCCAAACCTGTTACACAATTAAGTATATAGCTATAATATGCTATAATTAGTTAAATATATATATATATATATAGAGTATGCAACCAAGAATCTATAATTGGCAATATAGCCTTTACAACCAAACAAATCCCTTTGCGCGGCGTTTCACCCGATCACCAAGGTGATCGCCAAGCGCGCCGCCACGGGCTTGCCCGTGGTGCGTGCGGTGGTCGGTGGCGGCGACGGCACCGTGATGTGGGCCGACTCGGAGGCGGCGACGAGCTCGCACGGCTGGCGAGCTCGGGGGAAGGAAGCGCCAGGGAATTGATCATATGTTCCAAAGGAGATAAAGCTCTGGCTTTGACAAGTATAACAGTATTTTCAACAATGTATAAATTTCTGAACCAGGTGTTTGCCGGCCCAGAACCAGGTTGTGCGATTCCTGCTTTTGGGGTTGTGCAGTGGTTTGAGTGGGGCGTTTCATTTCAGAAATGGAGTTGGAAGCAAACTAGAACCTTTATGTTTGAGGCCCGTGAACCACTGCTGGCCAGGGCAGTGCTTCGGTGCTCAAAAAAGACCAGAATATGGAAGAGATCAAAGGACCCCTGGGAAGCCCGCCTGTTTCTGCAATGACATGCGCAAGCCCCTTTTTTTTCAACTGACCATATGACATTCACCAAGGTGTCAACCAGTAACAGAGCTTTGAGATCAGTGAAGTTGTGGACTTGTTCGTTAGCTGGACAGGCACCGGCTCTAGGGTGTAGAGAAATAGTTTTGTTACAGGTCGTGTAGATTTCCATGAACAGAAAATACGTTGACCATATTCCTTCCAACCAAAGATTATGTGTGTTGCTTTTCCAGTGTGTCACATCCACAAAAAGGATATACAATGCATAGTCTGAGAAGTATGTGTGTATGCACATAATTGCACATAACTTAACACATAAATGTTTAACTGCAAACAGTCGGATAGCTTGTGGCAGACAGCGAAACCCTTCAGAAGGTGTGATTTCAGGCGGTTCTTCCTTGTTTGTTTCTACTAACGATGTCCTCCAACCTAACTAATAGTAAAGTATATTGGACAGTTTCTTCTGTGTTTTTCTTTGTTTCTATTAGTGATGTCCTCCAACCTAATAGCAAACTATATATTGCATGTGTTCTTCCTGTTCTTGTTTCTTGTTTCGAATAGCAATGGTCTCCACCCTAATATAGCCTATAGCAAACTATATTGCACCTCTTCTTCCTAAAAGTAGTAACAAGTGCCACGCTAGTAGTAACAGGTGCCTTACTAGTAGTAACAAGAAGCTAGTAGTAACAAGTGCCACGCTAGTAGTAACAAGAAGCTAATACTCCCCAGCCTCTTCCGCCTCCAGGGGCAGAAGCATGGTATCGACACGCCCAAGCAGGTGGCGTAGGGGAGCTCAGGCTGAGCATGCTGAGCTGCGGTAGCTCGCTGCGAGAGGAAATGGAGGCGAGTCGGCCAGGGGTCTTTGAGTTGAAGGAGCAGTTGTTCTGTACTCCTTAACTACATCATGACTCATGATGGGAGCTCTGTATTTTTTGGGGTGAATGTTTGAAGAGGAGTAGTGGCCCACCAACCACTCTACTCATCCGGAACTTTCCCATAACTTTGGGGGGTAGGTAATTGCAAGAATGGACACAAAATAGTATGAAACACCCCAAATGGGTTTGGAGTCACTTCCCTCCAGACCTCTCCAGTTTTCGTCTGCCACTCCTCACCTCGGTCTTCCATGGGCCAAGGTGGGGCATCGTGCCCTTGGGCACTGGCAATGACTTTTCCCGAGTCGCTGGCTGGGGTGCTCCCTGCGATGACTTTCTGATGCGTGGCACACACGACCTGTGGGACCGTTTCATGGGCACCGTGCAATCGGGGCCAGGTGGAAACAATCCTGAGGGCGTGGATGCCAACGACTTCGAGCTGCTCAAAGACTTGGTCACCTGGCCATGTCGACTTTCAGTTTTGAACAGAGCAGAAGTGTCCAGTCACGGAACATGGAGAGATTGGGTATAGAACGGTATCGAACGTGTGCTAAAGTCCAGAGAATACATGGGATACATGAACAAGGAGCCTTCTTCTGCCAAATGGACATTGATTATTCAACAAGATTTTAAATACCAGATATACATTTACCATGATTCACTATTGTTCGGATGGGATGCAAGTGTGATGCCTTGGGTTTGCGTGTCCGCCAAGCTTGCAAATGGACTTCTTCGACCAAGACAACTACTTCATGATGAATAAAGGAACAGAGAAGGACCATTCTGCAGTATGGTGCATTGATGATGAACGTAGTTACTTGTTGCATCTTATTGCCATTTGTTTGCCAAGGAACACATTGGCACGTGTTGTCTCTTCAGTTTTAAGCCCACTACTAAAGGGCAACGATAGACCCAGCACCATTGCCGTGGAGGCTCCTCACATTTCGACTGAGGTGCGGCAGTGGGACCGAGCCAAGGTTCGACACCATGACGTTTGGGAGGCGCTACCGCTCAGTCAGGACGACCGCAGGAATATGTGGAGAAGAAGCGTTGTTATTCTTGACCTGGGTTTCTCGGGGCGCGAGTTTCTTGGAATGAAGTCGGGTCAGACCCAGAACGGGGCATATATACCAGCACCGTCCGTTCGGTCGGTATGTCCTGGTGACAAGAAATGTCTGGACACCACCTGTTAGGGCCGCGGAAACAGCCTGTTGGAGGGTCCTGATATATACACGACTGGTTGCTATGTTTCTATTAGGTCATGAAGTGTTTGGGGTTGCTACAGTTCACAGCTCCCAAGCTGCTGCCAGTGCCGGTGCTTCTGTTGCCAGCACTGCTATTGAAGGAAGACTTTGATGGGAGAGAAACACCCAATAAGATGGTGGTTTTGCATATTTCTCTATGTTGCGATTCATTTTTCAATCGTAGTAGCACTGTTCTCTTCTCGCTGCATATTTCTCCGGCTGCGACGCTTCAGAAGTGGTGGTGCCTCTTCCAGTTGCGCCGGGTTCTCCTTTGTCCACAGAAGATTGTTCGATCAATATGTCACTTCATCAATACATGCTCCGACCTTCGTAGCTCCGACACCTTCGTAGCTGGGAACAGAAAAAAGACGGGACACCGACCCGGGACCGTCTGACCGAGACCCGGACGTCGAAAAAACGCCGTGACTCGCTCTTCGTGACTCGCTCCCCTCGATGCTTCGCCGGTGTCCCAGTGAAACAAAACAAGGTAAAACACCCCCTCGCCGGGGGTGATCCCGACTCCCCTCGCCGGACAAACAGTAAAACAAACAAGTTCGGCCTCCCCCCCCTCCACCGAGTCTTCTTTCCCGGAAGTCACTCGGAATGTTGTCACGTGTTTTTTTGTTTTTTGGTGCCAGGTGTCGGTGAATCTTGACGAATCTGAAGGGAAGCTCTTCAAGATCGGCAAGACGCAGGTGTTTTTTCGTTTTTGGAGGTTGTTTGGGTAGGTGTGGATGCTTTGGATGCGTTGAGGTTTGGGCATGCTTTTTCGTGGGGGGGGAGCCTGTTTCGCGTGTGGCGGGATGTCTTTTTGGAGGAGCGAGGAACAAAAAACTAATACATATACTTATTTTGATGCGGGCCCAATTGGGTCCAATGCTGTAGTTGGTTCCTTGGTTTTCGGTTTGCGTCATAGTTTCACCAGTTGTTTCTTTGTTTGGATATATGCAATTAAAGAACGCTTTCGGTGTTCCCCACCTGAAAGACACGGAGGGTTTCGGCAGAGTTTAGGAATTTTGGGCATATTGGGGCATTCCCACTTGTACTTCTATAGACAAGGGTTGATACTGCCATCCCCCAGAGCACAAGAAGGACTTTTTCCCCGAGAGTGGCACCACTAGAGAGGTGAGTGATGTAGCTTTTGACTATCGCTCCCACAATTCAGCCCTCACCCGCCTCTAAAACAAAATACCACTTGGGATGAGGCATTCATTGTTCTTTGTTTAATTGTTAATCCCATTGAAACAACTCAAAGCTATCTCACCGGGTTGGCCCGTGGAGTGGTTTTATTCCCCAATTGGTTGATCGTTAAGAAACAATCTTTGACGTTTCACCCACCTTTCTCCGAAGGGAAAGCTATATGGATGCCCAAAGCAATCAGATGACATTGATTGATCTTCATGTCATGGATACTTCGGACATGCCGGTTTCACGTCCAAGGTCAGGTCACATTTTGCTACAAACCTTCTTGCTTATAAGTATTCCCTCACCAGCTCTTTGAAGCATGCGTCGCCCGGCCTTCCAGCTGCCAGGTGGAAGAGGACCTCAATGTCACCAGCAAGACCTTCCACATGGTGAACTACTTCTCCATTGGTTGGAACCTCAAAGGGACTCGAAGAAGCGCTCAGCCTGCTGCGACCGTCAAGTCCTTCCGCGCCCGCTTCCGAGCGAGTGAACATGGCCGAAGAGGAACCAGTCAAAGGAGTGAACGCGGATGTTTTACATGCTTTTGGTGAGATCCATGTGCACTGGTGGGATACTTTAAACCAAATAGACATGTAAATCCATCTAAGTTCTACATGCAGACAAATCTCAAAGGAGTCCATCCCAGACACCTCTAGGTTCATAGAACAAAATAGGTAAGGGAAGTCGGCAAAACAGATCTGTAATTTGTGTGAAACGAATTGGCTCTGTGGTTCGGTGTATAGGTGTCCTTGTCTTGATATTCCCAGTGGATCTTCAGCCATTCCAAACTGCAGACCAAGGCATGTTGAATATGGTTGATTTATAGATATTATCTATATGTACATATATCTCAGTATATTTATCCTTTTTGTGCGTGTTTTTTTGGAACCCAGTGGTGGTTGATCGCGAATCGGAATCTGATCGCCTCACTCTCAGGTCAAGAGTCTCAGGTGCGTCCCGCTGCTCTCAGCGTCCAGCTCGGCCGTTCGGATCGACCATTGTACACGCCGTTCCTACGCCAGAAGACGAGGAACATGGACCAATGAATCCGGTTTCGAAGGTTGAACCATGGTTAGAAACCATGTTAACAACTACAGCTTATATATATAGTGGTTTTGGGAGTCAATGTTAATGTGCGAGGGTATATAAGCTTAGTTGTCATCAATTAGGTGGAGTTCCCCCCGGGCATCCTGTTGTGTGAGAAGCGGTACTTACATATATAATAGAAGGGGCCACAGCTACAACTAGACGGGTTTCTCGAGGGACTTGACTTTACTCTATTACTACAGTATATTGGAGTGTCCAAAGTCAAAGCGTGGTTTGAGATGCTGCTACAAAATCCATTCATTCGGGGACATTCAGGCCACGATGCATGAAGCATGGTGCAAGGTTATGGCGTCAGGCAGAGGATTAAGGGTTGTGATGGGCAAGAGGGCCTTATGACTAATTAGCAACCATGAGAATGTCAGTAGTGGTTTCGCACGTAAAGGGGTTAAGTATAGAGTATGTCTCAGTTCAAACGTGTCGTTTTGTTGCAGGTAGGCATGCATTTCGACAAGCACCGAACCAAGAGCCAGACGTGCAACCTTTTCGTTTATGGTGCCTCAGATGCATTTGCGATGCCTTGCTGGACCAGTTAGACATGCTTAGAGCTGCTATTCAGCAAGTAATGCAACCAAAGGATCAATCAAGAGCTTGGGGCGATTGCTGATTCAAGAAACTAATCCCAAGAAGTTTGAATAGTACACAGTATAACATAGACCTCATTGTGCCTCCACCAACTGAAATGGTGGGCAATGATACCACGTCCCGCAAGGACACCGAGCCGGTACTTATCGAAGCAAGGATTGAACTTTGACCTTTCGTCCAAGGATTGAACTTTGACCTTTCGTCCAAGGTTCCTTTTTCTTATCTAAACGAGAAAGGACCAGAAAGTTGTCCACAAAAGGATGTGCCAATCCCCAGGAAAAGGAGTAAAAGTTGGGAAGATTGATTTCACAGATTGCCTGTCCAGTCGCTCTTGTGTTGCTTGCAGCTTGTGTGCCATCCTCCATTGAACGATGCCCTCAAATACCAATATAATACCGACCTCCAGACGAGCTGGGCTTGGCGCCTTCCCAGGTATGGCTGGCTGCTTGCAGGAAATGAGGCACACTCATGGCATGGGATGGCCATTGGTCGTGCTGCAATCAATAGAGTCGTTTTTCTAAGCACAAAGCATCCATTCCAACTGGAGTTCTCGCGGATACGGTGATTGCAGCGATGCTGGAACAATTGTATACAATGATGAATGTCCTGTGTTTGGATCAACTCCAAGTCCCGGTGTGGCGGGACAAAGACTGGCATTTGCTGGCATGCCCCACTGAGGAGCAGAAAGCACATCACCGTCGTGGAGGAAACTCATTGGGTCAGAAAAAGGACCTTACTAAATGTGCTTCTCCCCAGCAGGTCCTGGTCCAAGCTGTTTAGAAGAGATAGAGCCGGACAGAGACGCTAAGATGTTATCTTATAGATTCGTCTCACTCCGGACTTCTGAAATGTCTTATCTTGTCTCACCAATTGGGAAGCAGGAAGCATGTGAGACATGAAACGTGTTTTTCTTTCGATATTCGAAGGTGTTGGAGCGTCCAGCACATCGGCAACATTGTGTCCAACCTCTACCAGGGGAAGGACAAGAATGGGCCGCAGCCTCAGTGGAAAAACATGAGGATGCCTTGGCAGATGGGCCTGACTGGATGGTCTTGAATGTTAAGTTCTTCAATTTTTTATGCTGTTACATAGATGAATTTTGAAGAAGCTGATTTATTGCAGAGTGAACCGGACAGAATTTCTTCAGCTTTGCTTCCAGCCATCCAAGGACATTTTCCTTTTTGTTTGATCTTAAGATGTATCGGGGCAGCACTCAAAATCACACTCGACATATTACAAATCAGAATCCATTGACAGCCATCGGCAACCCCGGTTCTCCAAGTTCGAAGACAATCCGCCGATCTTCGACCAGGACATCCTGCGACGTCCGCACCCGGCTAAGGACACTGATCATGGATAGCGAGGGCGACCTCGGTGAGCCGCACGGCCTGGTTTCAACCGCGCTGGCACAGCGGGGCACAGTGGGGCCCGAGGTCAACAGGAGGTGGCTGCCCGGCTTCGGCTGGGCCCATGCTGAAGTTCAATGGAAGCATCACAAGGAGGCATTGCACGTCCTTGAGGATCGCATCAAGACCTTGTAGGATGGCAACAAAAATCTGCAAGATTCTCGTGCGACGACACTTCTTAAGAACATTCTTTTAACCAACCTACAACCACCTGGGGAATGTTGTTCAGATGTTGCATAAATTATGGGGTAGTTGCCGTTTTTGTAGTCCAGACAGCGAAAACGCGACTCCCGGCTCGGGTCTGGGTTGAAGAGGCTCGACCGTTAGGTCCTTTGAAGTGATGCAGTTTCGCTGGTTTCGGAGGTGGCAGCCAGGTGCCAGGAAGCATCCATGGCACATGGCAGGGGCAACGGGAGCTATATCCAAAGTAGTTCATGCTGGCTTTGCAACTTCCCAATCCCGCACAGGTTCTGGTCGTAGTGATACAGCAGATCGATACGATCATGGTATGTGCCAACTAGCAGGACAACAGCCTTATCATCATATCATGTCTTTCGATAAGGTGATGGGGAGGTCTGGAGTGGGTTTGGAGGGTCCAAGTACCTTCTGTGGTAGCTGCGAACAAAGCAGCTTCTTCTGCTGTCGACACCTTGGATACAGCACAGCACAATACAGCATATCACAGAATTGTCAGAGCTCTTTAGAGGCCAGGCGCCCTGTGTCCCATTTTGCAGGGCACTGTGGAGGCTGCAGGTATAGTAAGGCGGTAAGAGAGGTTCATGGATGCCATGACAGCACTGTATTTATTGGTGTGGTTTCAGGGGTCAATCTGGGCATAAATTCCGTGCGTGCCATGGCGGTGTATGGCACCAAGGCCACAGCTCATTGGAAATCCCGAGAGTTTGATGTTCTTGAACATCAGCTCCTACGCTGGTGGGAAGGCGCAGCATGTCGTTTCCGGCGCGCCAATTCGGACGCGGCTCGATCGGTGAGGGAAGCCCTCTTAATTCGGACTGATGCAGGACCTCGACTGAACCGGCAAAGCTTATGCTGGATCCAGGGTCTGATTTGTGTTTAGTATTTTTTCTGGACATACCCAGCGGATCGACTTACAAGTGAATTCCGGCGATAGAAGGGCTGAGCATCAACGTGTAAGCAAAGCTGAGGCACGCCAGGGGTGTTGGATGTTCACGGGATGTTCGTGGATGTTCAGTTTGTTGGGTCATGAACTATAGTTGGGTCGTTCAACAACGGCCGGTGCCAGATCCTGGTGGTTTGGTAGTGGCTGACTTGTCACGTCAAAGAGTTTACTGCGAGTGCCAACAGAACAGGTAACACGCACACAGTTTGGATCTTGTCATCAAACATTAACATCACCCTTCAGCATGAACAGACCCTTGTAGAAGAAACTCCCCCCGTGCCATCAGTTGAGTCCCTGGGTAGCCAGGCACATTTGTGGCAGCTTGTGGCTGGCTCAACTGGGTCTGGAAGGATGGCTTGGTTGAGGAGGGAACATGGCACTTGGTCCCACCTAGCACTAAGCCTAGCCATTTGGGCCGTTTGGGGTCATTTTGGCCGAGTGTTATCTTTTTACTTTACAGTCTGAAGTCTTCTGTAACTACAGAAACAACCCGAGATGTCATTTGGTTGGATGAATCGATGTTGGTGAAAGTCCAGATCAGGAAGACTGCAAGATAGGAGAGTGCAGACCAGCGAAATAAATAACAATCAACCGAGGTGTCCTTTGGTTTTAGAGGTTTCCCGACACACGAGACTTCGTTGGAGACACACCAACGGACATGCCTTTCAGCGGATATGGATGACATGCGACTAAACCACCCAATATCCCACTTGATGGAAGTAGATGAGGGATAGTCAGAGCAGTAGTCAAGGCCAACTTGCCTTCAGGGTTGATTCAGGTGGACATTGGGGGTCAAGGCCTTGACATAGGTGGCAATAAAGAGAACAGGAGTCCCTGTGTGGGTAGTTAGGTTGAACCGTACAAGGATTGCTGCTGCTCCAACAGCATAGCCGCAAACAAAGAGCTTGACACAATCTTTTGCCATCACCTTGGGATCCATTTATTGTATCCCCATGCTTATTTTCCATACCAAAAACATGGTTCCCTACATTATTATCTTTTTGAAGCGTGGACCTATGCCAGATATCCAGCTCCATCCTCAGCTGTTTGTGACCCCCTGGGGTGTGTGCTGCTGCCACGTCTAGCTCAGTGCCATGCCAGTGCACCACCTAAAGATTCTAAAGAATGGAGGCTCTACATGTGAGGGGAAAAGAAACTGAAGTGAAATATGATGCGTTCTCACGTGAAGAAATGGTAAGATTGTTTCAATTCAGCAGCTTCACTGAGGAGTGCGACATTGGTGTGGATCCACCCCCGGCGGAGACTTCAGTGAACGTCGTCCAGGACAGGTCAAAAGTCTGAGGAGCTGATGTCCGTTTCCTGAATTGTCAGGATGTTTCCCACGTGGTTAAACACATGCAACAAAAACGATCATGCTAATTCGTGTTAACATTGATTTGTTGCGATGGTGTTTGTCCAACAGCTTGTGTGATGCTCTCCATGCCCATTTCTGACAACGGGGGAAGAGCCATCCCAAAAAGGACGAAGGCCGTCGCCCTCCAGCCACGAGATTACGTCCAGTTCGCCAACACCGCCAAGAGCTATGCGCTCACGCCCATCCAAAGCCAACACCATTTGTTTGAGTCCTTGTGTTTGAGAACCACCGTGACCTTGTCAACAGGGATACTGAAGCATAGCCCGCGTGACCAGGAGGGGTCAAGAGCACATCACGGCTCATTGCAGGGAAGTATGACACCTGCGCCAACAAACTCGAGAAGTGCCGTTCACTGAACATGAACCACTGAACTGAACCTTCTGCTTTGGATTCCTGGCCATCAACGTGACCTCAATCAAAACACTTTTGCCTGAGCTGAAAAGTGCTTTCATGTCCCAGCAAATCCAGCAACACATTGAGAAGCCTTCCGCCTTTACTGGTCGGATTCATGGGGCAATTTCCTGGACCTGCGGAAGTTTGAAAGGTCCAAGCCAAACAGCAGTTTCTGAGAACTCTTTTGGAAACAGAAGTTGAACACCAGTACGACCAGTACTATCAAAAACGGACAGTTAAAATATTTGCTATAAACTCCCTGACTGTCCCTGACTGTACTAAAGTCCCTTTGGTTTTGGACTGAGGTGACTGGTCCGGTGTGCATGCCAAAAACATGAGACAAGGCAACACATCTCCGTACAGACTGCGCAAGGGCTTGGGCCTTTCCAACATCAGCACGGACTGGTCATTGAGTCATTGGTTGTTTTTGAGACACATCTGCTATGGCATAGCGGATGTGCACCATGGAAAGTCCATGCGGCACGTCACTATATTCAAGATATCAGACGATATCCTTTTTTGATTTGTGGACAAACCGACTCCTCTAAGAAGTGACCACCACCCAGGAAGAGAGGAGGAGGTCGTGAAAAATGCCCCGCCACGTGCCATCACGGTGCCGTCGCGGTGCCGTCGCGGTGAGGATCCCGGCGACGGAAAGCTGGAGGTGGTGACACTGCCTGGGACACCCAGTGATTCACACTGGTGAAATGCTGAGAGAGCCCATCCCCACAGAAGAGCTGAAGATTGAGAACATCAGTTTCAGGGGGCTGGATGATTTCAAACATATCAACAAGTCCCCCCTAAATATACCTGCGGTCGGGGAGCATGAACGTATGATCGATGGGAAGGGGAGAGCCTCCAGTGAACAACCAACAGGATCCAAAACTGGTTTGTGGGACCAAATGGATCCCTCTATTTATCCCCAAAGGGCCACGTCGATTTGCTGGTTGCCGGCGCCATGTTGGAGCTCAGCGAGACCACCGTTTGGGCTGAGGCCTTTGATTGCAAACATCGCCATGGACAAGCTTGTCCATCAGGCCATTTTGCTTGCGTCGATGCTCAAAGACATTGAAAGACCCAATATCAAAATCCTGATGTTGTTTTGTGTACGTTCTTTTTGGGTCTCCGCTTCAAACTCTTTGATTTCAATCCACAATGAGTGTGACAGTCAAACGTCTAAATATTGTGAGGCGGGCAGTTTATTTGAGAGCGGCGAAGAAGCGATCCAGTGCTACGTTTATTGCGGAGTCCTATCACTACGAACGGTTCTCCTGCCCTGCAAAAAGCCCAAGAGCATGAAGGACTTCATAATTAATGACTTAGTGTGTTTTATATTGGTCTTTAGGGCAAGCAAACCTTGGTGCAAGAAAGACTCGGGGAAGATAAGATATATAACTCTATATAATTAGTATAGTACTGTACATACCTTACTGGCACTGACATGTGAGAAAGAGAAGGTAGAACTCTCTGTCAGCGTTGGTTTGCATTGAGGAGCCAATAGTTCGCCAAACTCAGCACCATCACCCCAAATTCCCCCAAACTTCCCTGGTGAAGCATGCGAAGATGTGAGAAATCGGCTTCGCCATGCTTCGCCCCAGCTCGCTTGTCCTTCGCAAGGCCCGGAAGGTTTGCTCTGGCGGGCCCTACTTCCTTGAGTGACCTACGCAGAGCAACAGCTGCCGGCAGGGAGTGTCTCAAGCAGTTGTTCGGATGTGTTGGGTTTCTGGAATCCCTTTGCAAAATGTAATTGAATGATATTTGTAATTTGTAATCGGTTGAGCAGGAGCGATTGTCAGCCCCTGAGGCAAAACTCGTATTTGCACACATTGTAATATATAATTGTTCGGAAATGATACATGATACAGTTGTTTTACATTTGTGTTATTTTGTGTTGCGTTTCTTGGAAATCCACTGAGTATTTCGTATCCACTGTTCTCCTTGCGAAAGCACTTCCTTCAACCTTCCGCTGTGCTTGCTTGGATGGTCGAGCGACCTCGACGTCCGCATCACTGTCCTGCGACGTCCACAGCACTCGGGTCGTTCGTGATGGATCAATTGATCGATCCTTGGCCTCGTGTGGGAACTGGTGTGTTTTTGGACTGCGACCACAGTGGTTTTGGTGCACAGCAAGATCGAAGCAGGAAGATAGCAACTGCAAGAGCTGCTATTAAGATGGCTTCGCTCATCTTGTGCCTTTGTGCTCAAGTGCCTTGCTTTGTGTGTACTAGAGGCAAGCTCATCGTGTGCATGCAAGTTTGCTGGTCCTTGTGGCTACAGCAGATGGCCCAGCTATCACCCTTTGGCCATTTTGCCTCAGGTATTATAAATATAAGTTCTTATTACAATTTATTCGAGGCTTCGCGCTTTTCTTTGATAATTTTTGGACGGGAGACATCTAGATTCTAGACCAGTTTGCAGGAGGCCTGCTGGCTTTTCCATGATCTACAGGGCTGAGACATGTGCTGAGACATGCGGTTCATAAGATAACAGAGGCAGGTCTTGAATTTCTGAACGCTCACTGCAGCAGATGCATCAGCAGGTCTCCTAGTTACACGCCTCCTAGCAATCCTTCATGCTCGGCCTGACGTCATTGGGCCCCTGGGGCACCTGACGATCCGGAGTGCAACCATTCGGAAGGCCAGGATGGAACGAGCCACAAGGGAGTCTCGAAACGAGCCGTGAGCGTGGCTGACAGTTTGTCACGAGGATTCTTGAACGTCAGACCACGATGGTTTTGGATCTCAGCCTTGGGGCCTTGATGACACTCCGTGGAAGGCATATGACACTCCGTCCACTCCCTTCCTCGTTGAGCTGATGGATCCCCTTTCCCCCTCGCACCTGCCTTTGCCAAGACGAGGGTGCCAATGCTTGGGAGCAATGTAGAGTCCACATCCAATTTTACATGATGGAATAGTCACTTAGCATTCTTCCGCGGACACTCATCACCCTGCCACAAAGTAGGGTGGGACACTGGGCTGGGGTCAGCAATCTCCTCGTCTTCAGGTACTTTCAGAATGATGACGATGTCCACTGCTTTTTCGAGGCGCGAGGACTTGCATGGCTTGCCAATCAGCCACAGCATGCCACGTGGCAAGGGTGAAGAGATGGGAACTACTGTTCTCCACTTGTTTCTTTTTGATTCCAATGTCTTCCTCTTTGGTTTGATCACGGTTTATGAACATGTCCCGCCTGCTCCTTGTGCCTGTTGGGGAAGTGCTTTCAGTTGTCATTGATGCTCAGCTCTTTTTCCCGGCATGACCGGAAGCAGTGAAGCAAGACGACTTTAGGCATTGATCAGGGGTGCCGTGCAAAAACTAGTTTGCAGTAACCGCTCGCATTCTGGTTACAGACAATGGATGTTCAAGAATTGTCCAGATCTTCGTGAGCAGTGCAGTGTTAATATGCAGTGATTGTGTGGGAAGTGTACTGTCCCTTGACTGAAGTGGAGCCCAACACTATGTTTGTTCTTTCGTTTTGCTCCATGTTTATTTTAGGAGGGCAAACAACTGTAGAGGCTTCGAACAGTTTGTTTGGATCCTGTCGTGTTCAACGCACGTATAGCGTATAGGAGTCTGAGTTATGCGATGTTATGAGGTTGTTTGGTTTCAACAAGGCAGGTCCCGAAAGGGTGTCAGAATTGCGTTACAACCTGAGAACGAGAAAAGTGAACAAAGGACAACGTGTGATGTTCAGTCATTCCTTTGGAAGGCAGAACCTTAGTCATTCTTCTTATTCTTGTTGCTTGCTCTTTGAGGGTGCATCAAACCATGCCCAGAAGGTTTCACTTGTGAGCACCTGTCCACTGTCAAATCAGCAGAATATGTAATTTTGCAAAGTCCGACAAAGGGGTACGATTATGTACAGTGTAGATAAAAACAAACACCTTTTATGGGCTACTGATTTGATAGTGGAGCAGTAATCACTCCCACATCTAATGCTTCGAGCCAAGTAAAGATGTATGATAATTAATTTGGAATTAGCACGTCAAGATTGCATCCTGTGTAGGAACGGGGACGGGAGCATCTTCAAAGAGTGGTGTCAGTGGTGTTTTTGACAATGTGCTCACAGGGGACCAAGACACGTTGAATTTGGCTGGTTGATGAAAAAATAGAAAGATATCAACAGATTTTGTTTTTGGAGGAGTACATGTCTGGAACCACCTACTACTTGTTCAGCAATCCGCTGGTCACGATCCTACTCATATTCCGCATCGGATTCGGAGCGAGTTCTGGCCAGGTAGACGGAGAGTTTTACCACGCAGTGAACCCTGAGAGCACCTCTGTGTACTTGTACAAGAAGCTGCAGGTTGGGTGCCGCCCCATCTCCGCAAAGTGTGTGGGAAGGTGTGTGGGAAGTTCAACATAGTTCAACCCAACGAAGGGGCGGGATCGTTTGGGGTGGGCCTGGGGGATGTTTAACCAAACATGGCTTAAAGGTGGCTAAGCTGTGGGCTTTGCATAAGCGGCAAAGTGCTGTTCCGTGGTTTTGATTCTCTCCCTATAGTCAGAAGATTCCGGAGCATCCCGAGGGGGAACCCATCCGCAGCTTGAGAGTCAGGAACTTGCAGAACGCCTCTCGATGTGGGCAGTCACTCAACATTTGATATCTCCTACGTGTCGGTCGCCAATCAGGTCAAGGAGTACTTCAAAAATTCATAAGGGATCCGGGCTCGAGCCTTAAGGCCCATAACGTTGATCAGCACGATGGAAGTGCAGCTGATGGATGAGGGGAATGCTGTGGCCTTCGTTTGGAGCGCTTGGCGCTGTCCACCTTGGTTGACCGCGCCTTGGTTGACCGCTCCCGACTTGAAGCTCTTCATCACGTGTTCATCACGGGCAAGATGGTGTGTCCAGCACTTCGCAGGCGGTGCAAGGCAGTTTATTTCCCGTGTGTCCAGCTTCACTGCAGATGAGAGTGAGTCACGCAGATGTGGACTGAGAAGCCAGGGGCAGAGCGGGAGGGTCGGGAAGATGATTGCGGCCTGGCACCTCCAAAAGATTTGCATGATTTGCTGGGCACAAACCATGGGCGCCCCGAAATGGCCGTGGAGCTTTTTGTAGCTGATGAGCTGGGTTCGTTTTTCGGACACTATCCGCGCCCCTGGGTGGTACGGAGAACCACTGTACTGCCAAGGAGGTTTAGTCCCCTCAAACTTCAATGCAAACAAAAGGGTTTCGGCATGTTTGGGCGTCATCAGTGAGGAATTCCGTAGAAGGGCCTGTCTCAGGAATTCACGCCGGACGAAGGAGTGAGAGTGATTTGTGGCAAATACATTGGGAATGGGAAAACAAACAGAGCATGTTCATAAGGAGCAATTCAGAGAATCCAGCTTCCCCGCGTCTTAGAACATCTCACCGGTGAATCGTCCATTGGAACTGAAACCGGTGCGTGCCGCAATGTCGCCGGGCGCGTGCCTTTTCCGGTGGGTCGCTTCACATGGGGAGGATCCAACGTGCTTAAAGCAATGGCCCTGCCTCTCAATTTCAAAGTTTCATTGTGGGTGTGTTGTTTGGGCATTGGTTCTTCTCCATTCCTTATATATTCTTATATTATCTTAGCGTGTGAAAAACAGACTTGTGTTGGAGGCGTTGCCCAAAAGAGTGCAACAACCATTTGTGCCACAACTTTGCTTTTGCTTTGATGTGTGTAGCCATGACCAGAATCGAAACAACAAATCCAGGGTTTCGGGGATTGTGTTGGCTCCGCCAACGCTATGCTGCTGTGTGTAGGTGCTTCAGAGAGTGCCTACCGGCGACACCTCTGACGAGGTTTGAGCGAGCTTCACGCCCGGTGGTCGGGTTCGGGGTTTCGGGGCATTTTTGGGCCCAGAGCTCAGGTGCTTTGGTCCAGACCTGGGACACCGTTAATGATAACACTGTTTTTGTTTGGGAAGGGGGGAGTCAACTGGTGGCAGTTCCAGAGTGAGAAACAGGACTGACAGAACCAAGAGTTTGTCTCGGAGAATAGAGCTGCATTTCAATAAACCAGACAACAAATCTGAAAGGGTGTCCAAATAAACCCTTTTTTAGAAACAAAGAAGAAATAACAGCAAACAAAAAATTGAACCAACATTTTGGTTTTTGTTTCGGGAAGTGGTTTGAAAAATACCCCAAATAATGCACCGGCATAAAGGTTTCCTCTACAACTCGACTGCACAAACAGTTCAGTTGATCATCAATACTACTGTGAAGATACTAGAACTTTGCATAAATAATATCGATAAACATTGGAACTCTTATCAACACAAACAATCATCTACTGAACTTGCACTTTGCGTTTGGATACACTTGCAAATCTTTTGATCCCGACGTTCCGCCACAAACGGCAGGACTGGTTTGATATCCCTGAAGTCACTTGCTGATGCTCTGACTCCAATGAAAAGGGCCGACCAGCTTGGAAGAGTCTGCGCGGCCATCAAGGGGTTCCATTGAACACCTCAGTTATAGTCAGTGCCACTAGAAATTCCAGCAAGTCTTTGCAACCCTCCAGGTTGAGGATTCTGCCGAGTGTATGCAGGTTCCTTAACTGACTTTGTTGTGGTGTGTGACGGTATGTGGTGTCCACGAACAGAAGACGATTCAGAAACTAGCTCCGATTCAGAACCTTGCGATTCTGAAACTACAGAGTGTCCCGATTCAGAAACTCACCCGATTCAGAAACTTGTCGATTCAGAAACTACAGGGTGTCCCGATTCAGAAACTCCCTCGATTCAGAAACTGGCCGATTCAGAAACTATCCGATTCAGAAACTGGCAGGTGGGGGGTGGGGATCTAATGACATGTTTGTGTGGATGTAGCGTGGACATCTTCGTATTTCAGAGACCCGATTCAGAAACTATCCGATTCAGACCCGTTCTAGTTTCCGAATCCAATATTCCGAGTCCGCGCCTTGCCTAGTTTCCGAATCCGTGGCCACCTTAGTTTCCGAATCCACAGTTCTAGTTTCCGAATCCGCCGTTGACCTGGTGCCCACTTTACATGACCGCACTGGAGACAAAGGTTGGTAGCAACATGTCACCATGGCCATCGACTGGTCATGTATTGTCCCGCTTATCCACTCATTGAGGCATTGTGTTGTTTAATCTCCATCCATTTTGTGAGATATAGGTTGCAGAGAAGGTTTGTATAAATTTGCTCTTGTTGTTGTGACTTTGAGCAATACATATAGACTGGCACAATTGAGGAGATGACTTTGATTCTTGAGAATACCCCCCCACATCATGGCTAAATATAACAGACAATAACAACCATTCAGTTCCAACCTGAGTATTGTTTTCTGTTGATTCGCCTCAGCTTCAGTTCCTTCTCTTGCTACAAAGAAATCACCATGGCCTCAAGTTCCATGAATCTCTCTGGCAGGCGCTCCATTGGTCAATAAAGAGCGTTTAAATGTGTGGGTGATCCACAGCACAAATGCAATCGGTCCACGTTCTCTGAGACCCAAAAAAGAACAAATGCGCGTCAGGTAACGTGAGCGGTGCCATGTTCGACATGCCATGATTGGAAGCGCTTGGATTCTTTTGACCATCTCATGTGAGATGGATATCCCTTCGTCCCATGGGGGTGTTCAGTAGCGGAGCCTTGAGAACTGGCTGAGAGACTGCCCGTTTTCCTGCGGTCCCTTCATGTACACGACTGGCAGTCCATCGCTCCCTTGAGATGTACCATGAGGCCTCCACTTTGTTTTTTGTCCTAAATACGATGTACTGCGCCACTGCGGATGCTGTACCCAAGCGATGGGTGGAGCACCATGGAACACTTGGTGCTCGGCCATGGTGCATGACCTTGTACCACTACATCCAATCGCAAAAAAGGTATGAACAGGTGTAGTTACTTTTTGGAGCGTCGTTGCCAACAGATTGGTCCTGGTGATCCCTGTTCCGTCCTCACGGCCGTTTGACGTTGAACAAGTGGCGTCATGGTGATCACTTTTGTGCCCTTTGGATGGGTGTTTGCAACCACAGTTAGTGAATTCGGTACCGGCTGTGGTTGCAACGGGGTCACTACATACCTACTGCTGAAGGGTTCAATATTCCTCGTCCTATTGCAGTGTTTTCGTTGTTCTAACTTCGTCTCGTCCGCCGTGCGGGTGGAGCACGGGTCTTGGGTTTGCCGGTGTGGTGGATCCATTGCGGCAAATTCTGTCATGTTGGCACCAATGTTGACTGTTGACTAATTAATTGAATTTGGACCCTGATGAATGCCTCAGAGGCTGGATACTTAAAAACAATAACCATAAAAAACCTCTATACAGGAGCTGGAACAGGAGCTAGTGTCAAGACAGCAAGACCATTTTCTACCACGGTATTGTGATCGGTCGGTGTTGACAAGTTCCTTGTTGTTATATAATTGGGATGGGTTGTTTGGGGTCCTCACATTCCATCACGATTTCGAGCTAAATCGTGTCAGCTGCCTGTATAAAACCATTTGATATAGGTCGTCTCCAGCCATCGTGCTACGTGCTGTGTCAACATAATCTCAAAGGTCCACGATTGAGACATATTGAGACTACTCAAGGGACGTGATGGTTGCCAGAGATGTCTCTTGTCAATGCTTGAGAATTTTCTTCATGACCCTCTGCGGCAGGGCAAGCTTCACAAGCTTCAAATTGAGCATGCGGGATAGCAAGAAGCTACTAGGAACAAGTGCATCGCTAGTAGTAACAAGTGCCTTACTAGTAGTAACAAGGACGCAGTCATAGTAGGTAGTCATCCGACTGCTCCGCATGTAGGAGCACATATATCACTCATCAGGGAACATGTCGTGAAATGAACGATATTTTCCTTTTGAATTGAAGGACCCATCGGAAGAGTTTGGTATTTGTTGGAGGGGTCCTAAGTGGTTTTGCTTTATTGGCCTTTGGCAGATCGCTTTCAGGAGCTCGTCAGATCGATGTCATTCTTTCAGCCAAAATACAGCTAGGAAAACTCCATGTGTGTGTGTGTGTTTTAATCACTTGTCACCTACATGCATGTAATGATGTTTCTTTCAGGGTCTCGACTTTTTTGGTGAGACCCTCTCTCATTTCGGTTGTTGTTATTAGACGATATTGGATACCTTGACGTCTCACCGGAAAGAACCTCAGATTTTAGGGCCCAGAAGCAAATCCGAAAGCCGAAGCCGCCTGGACGGCATCCCCAACAAAATTGGACGGCTGGACCGAAGAAACACGGCTGGAAGGCATTTCTGTTAACACAAATATGGAGAGTTAGTTTAGCTGTTAACACAAGACCTGAACGCATGACAACGCCGTCCCGCGGGCTCGAGCGAGCCACACGACGAAATGCGAAGCGACGTGTGAAGCGGGCGGCGAGCCGGGCGCTTCAGTCGTCTCCACATTATGGGCAAGATCCTTGGGTTCATGTGTTGTATTCTCCCAAGCTAACGAAGCTTCATCAAGCTCATCTCCCTGGTGGCCTCTTTGGGTTCAAACACGACGGATTTCCTACTTGGGACCATTTTCTGAGCCGTTCAATGGGGCTAGGTGGTCCATAGATGTTGGCCCCCAACATACCCCAACCACACTTTCACAAATCCAAGATTGATGCACATTGACTTGTGGCGAGACCCCAGAAACTAGCATGAGTCAGCTGAGGGGCTGAACAGCTCAAACTGAGGTACCTTGACACCTGAAGTGTATTGTCTTGCCTAAAGGGGAGAACATGGGACAACCCTGAAACAATGGGAGAGCGGTGCATGCGATGGCTGGTGGCTCAAGCCGCTCAGCCTCTTGCAGCCTCTCCTTGGCGCGGTTTGTTCACTCAACCTTGGAGAGATCCCTTGACGGCTCAGCGCACGCCACGTCGACGGAAAAATAAATGCATAGAACATGTGCAAAAATGCGACTAGGCCCTCATCGTAGCGGCGGCATTTGTGAACTTTGACTTCCAAATTCTAAATATTATGGTGACATGCTGTAGTTAAACAATACTGACAAGCAGGGTCGGTAGTAGACTAGACTCAGCCTCGTGATTGTTCAGAAATGTCGCTGGCATGCTGTCTCGATTGTTTTGCAGCCAAAGACAAAGCATAGCAACCAGCCTGCAATTGGCAGCCGCAGGAGAAAAGATGTCGGGGTTGTGGGTTAAGTCCCCAAACTTGTGTTTTTGTTTGTGTTGAACAGCATGTTCTTTGATGTCTTTGGAAACAGAAGAGCCTGAATCCTGAACGGCTATTTCCAGAAAAGGGATGGTTGTCCCCAGGCTGGCTTGAACAGAATCACGATTGGAACTCCCTGAGGTTTTTTTTGGGGCGGTGAGCGAGGCTTTTGGATCGGTTCTTGGGTTGGCCGGATTTGGGGAAAGTGTATGTGTATGTTTTGTTTTGTTTTGTTTTCACGGACAATTTCATGGAACCCGTTAGGCTGGGCGGTGAGTGCATTACGAGCTGGATATTTGAGATTTTGGTCAATGCGCACATCAGATCGCAATTTGGTGCAATTCCTCCATGTTCCACCCAGCACTCTGGCAGAAGAAATGTGATCCAGACTGATCGGAATTGCGAGGAATGTTGCATGCCAGTTGGCCTCCAACCTACTAGCGATGGCTTCCAAGCCAGCTTCGAGGAATTGACATGTTAGATGGACTTCTCGTTTTGTGCCTGCGAGGATTGGGCTTCCGTACCACACTGGATGAGGCACAAAGCCTGAAATGAGGGAGAGCCAACATGAGAACAGTATTGCAAGTTTGATTTGGAAAGTCAGTCAACAGCAGGCCTTTACTTGGATTGATCTCAAAAGACTGCCTAAAGGTGAGGGTCACCACTTTGTGTGCTAAACCCATTGCAGAAGCAGATGTTCAGCGAGGAAAACTGGCAGATATGACCTGAAGTTCGAGACCTGATGCTGGTGTTTGGCTTTGGTCGTTCGGGGAAAGCCACGAGAGGTCCAGACATGAAGCCATCAAAGGGATAAACCAATTCAAGAGCTGTTTGAATTGTAACATCTAAGATTCTTGCAACACATTAGCTGTGAGTACCTCGTAGTAGCACGGAGGTGGTAACCACAGCAATAGCCACATGATCATCTTCGGGTCTGAGCTTCAGAAGGCCGTACTCTCTTTTGGTTTATGAAGGGTTTGGATATGTTTGTATGACTTGCCACAGCCAGCATGCCCCTTGGCAAGCACCAGAAGAATTACATTTCTTTGACATGACCTTTCAAGAAAGTTGCCATTCCTTAGCTCGTGCATGGCCTCTCAAGATGTCAAATGCAATACCCGCGCGGAAGCGTCGGCATTTGGACACAGGTCAAATAGCTGCGTGGCTTTGCTTACTGTAGATGATGAGTGGTCATTTGTTCAAGAATCACCTTTTATAATGGGTCTCACGATCTCATTATGAATACGATATGTTGATTTCCTTT